CCCCACGCCGCCCTGCCAGCGGTGACAAACCCAACAAAGGGAAGAGAAAAGCACTTGTCATCCAGAATGCGGAGCGCGCGGAAGCAAATTTATTTTTAGATAAATCTAAAGCTTAATTTGTGAAGCTAATATCAATCAAAATGAGAGATGGGTTTTTTTAAGTCCTCTTGCAGCCGTGCAATTTATACTGCCTGTCTCTTCTCCCCGCTCCCCAAACAGCAAAGGCAGCCGCTAAGTTTAATATCAACCTCATGCATGCCTGCCTTAGAAATTATTATATTATTATTATTTTAATAGGAGGATATTTGCAGACCAGGAATGGCATCTTTCCCCCCCCGTTTTCCTGCAGCACCTGTGGGGTGCTGTGCCCCTCTGGGGCAAAGTGGGGCTATGGGTGGTGGTGGCCTCACCCTGGGTGCCGGGACACATCTCTGGGTGTGTGTGGGGTCCTTCCCCCACCTCTAGCTGGAGGTGGAGCTATGGGTGATGGTGGCTTCACCCTGGGTGCCAGAACACTTCTCTGGGGGTGTGTGGGGTCCTTCCCCCACCTCTAGCTGGTGGGACACGCATTTTGGGTCCCCACCAGCCCCCCCTGAGCCCGCTGGAGCCGCCGCTGCAGAGTCCTGGATGGAGGCAGGTGCCCACCGAGGAAAAGATCCATTTATTTGGCGTGACCCGTTGGAAGTCTTCCCGTGCGCGGTGAAATCCTCCTCCCAGAAGGAGCTGTCTGAGGGGGAGAATTAACCTGCTAAATAATAAAAAACCCCGCGCACCTCCTAATGAAATGTAATGACTTGGAGAGCGGCAAGATGGATCGCGCCGTCGCTCCCAGCCACTCGCCCTGATTTATGGCGACGTGGGACCCGTGATGGAGGCAGCGCTAATGAATCCCCCTCCCAGGGATGCTGCCGACAGAGAAAAGTTTCTCCTGGGGCCTCCCAAAGAGACTCCTCGCACCGGGCAGCCCTGGCCTCGGTGGGGAGGGACCCCCTGCTTTGGTAGCCCCCAAAGCCCAGGGGAGCCCTGTGGGTCAGGGGACAGTGGGGATGGCCGGGGCCGTGTCATGGGGCTGCCACTGGTGCTGCCACTCTGTGCCCAGCACAGCAGGACACCCCCACCACGTTAAGCACCCCCGTGCTACAGCCTCACATATTTCTTCTGATGGGGCATCTTTTGATGGCATCATTTGTGGCATCATTTGACAAAGATCTAAGCAAATATTTTTCTCCAGCCGGTCTAATTTTAACGTGCAAGCAAGGCAACGGCATCCCACCCCCCACCACCGTTTGACAAAGATCTAAGCAAAATTTTTTCTCCAGCCGGTCTAATTTTAACGTGCAAGCAAGGCAACGGCATCCCACCCCCCACCACCTCCCTAACCCCCCACCACGGCCCAGTAACATTAACCTCGGTGAAAATTCCCTTTTGTCCCAATTTCTCTTTGTTCCCCGGATGGGCTGTCACGAGCTGCCGGTGACGGAGCGGTCCCCTCCCGACACGCCAGAAATACCGGCACAACCACACGGTACAGCAAGAGAGGGATGGAGCCATGCTCCCCGACTGCAGCACGTGGCCCTGTCCCTGTCCCCAACCCTGGCAGGGCTGGGGGGAAGCAGCCAAAAATAAGGAAAATACAGCTTTGCCCCCCCATGAACCATCCCTCTGCCTCCCGTTAGTGGTTCCCAGCCAACACCTATGGTTTCGCTGTCTTTTGGGTGTCACCCCAACATCACCACCCTGCAGGGCTCAGGCTGGTGGCTCTGGTGGGGGTTGTGGCTGCTCCACGCTGCCAGACACCCGGGTACCCCCACCACCCCGCCGTGGGCTTCTCCTCACACCACTCTGGCAGCCGGAGGTGGCCACGGGCAAGTTGGGGCAGGGACAGGTTTAAAAATGATCCTCATTCTGCAGGTGGGTAAGTGGAAAATAAAGCCCCCCCCCCTGGCCAAGCCTGTGCCCTCCCAGCCGTGCCAGGGTTGCAGGCAGCCGTGGGCAGGGGTGC